TTATATTTCAGAATTCTCAGACCGTCTTTCTGCCTTGAAATTTGCCTCATTGTACTTTTTTTAAACAACGAGAGACTTTAATTTTCTATTTCAATCGTTCACTAAATCTGCACAAGTAAATTGAAAAAGACAAATTGAAAACTAAAACCCCAAGAGAGTATGATGCATTGTTGATCGACATTTTAAATCAAACAATACTCAATTACCATTAGACAGTTTTAGAAATTTTTAATTAATTAGAGGTTTTCCAAGCGATTAATGTTTCAACGAAGTCATGTGTGGCAAACCAATTATTCCAGAAAGGGCTAAAGGGTCAGGACACCGTCTAATAAAAATATATTAGCCTCTGTGATGAGACTTCTGGAATTTCATTGAAGCAAAAGAAGGTTTTATTATTAAACATGATATTTTTATCATTTTTTTTCATCATTTAGTTGTTGTTTTTTTTTTTTGGGGGGGGGGGGGGGGGGGGGGGGGGGTGGGGGGAGGAGTTTTTTTTTTTTAGGTAGATAAGATCTTAGCTTAAAAGTAGGAACTCGCGGTTTACAACTTATGGTCTGAATAAGTTTTAAGTACATTCGACCTAATCGTAAATCGTAGAAGTTAAGGAAATAAAATCAAATGCCCATTCCTGAAATCAAAACGTTATTCCTTTTGAGAAGAATAAATATGGCATCGAGCGTGTAACATTAATTTCTTCAAGGTGTAAATTGAGACAGACACATTATATAACAATTGGTACTTGTTGCTATAGACTATTGCAAGAACGTCTTTATGCCCCACCTACGATAGTAGAGGGGCATTATGTTTTCTGGTCTGTGCGTCCGTCGGTTCGTCCTTCCGTCCGTCCGTCCGTCCGTCTGTCCCGCTTCAGGTTAAAGTTTTTGGTCAAGCTAGTTTTTGATTAAGTTGAAGTCCAATCAACTTGAAACTTAGTACACATGTTCCCTATGATATGATCTTTCTAATTTTAATGCCACATTAGAGTTTTGACCCCAAATTTCACGATCCACTGAACATAGAAAATGATAGTGCGAGTGGGGCATTCGTGTACTATGGACACATTCTTGTTTTAAAGTGTTTTTAGTTATCAACTAACGTCATACTTCATGATTTTTGGTGTCTTTTAATACTGAATAAAATAGTTTCTTACGCAAAGAAATAGTCATGGACGTTGGTGCTGCGTTAAACAATCAATCAATCAGATTAACTTTACGGTTTTTCATATTGCTCAATTGCAACACCTTTTGCTTATATCTTTATTGGTATTAGTCCAAGATTGCTTTGACGTCCCATGGTCCAAACAAGTCCTAAAAAGGCCGTCATACTTCAGAGCAATCTTGGACTAGGTTGGTACCTATTTCATTGCGGCCGATAAAAACGTCTTTTGTAAAATTGTTCAATGGCATATGCATTTTGGTTACTTTTAAATGTAAAATTTGTCAGATTTCTTAACATAGGTGTAAATGGATAAGGGGATAAGTATTCAACCTTGTAATTTGAAGATCTTGCTTCTGAAAAAAACTGAATATGATAAAAAAAAAACTAATGCTTTTTAATCTAAATCAAAATAGACATAGCTGTAGAACGTAATTACTTGTGTCACAACACCAAACCTGCCTTCTTAACCAAATACTATGATTGATTAAAAAAAGCATACATCACAGTTATAACTATCCTTAACTAGCTGTCTAAATTGCACAAAACAATTATACGTCTTGATGTAACTAAAGTCAACAAAAGATGGAGAGAAAATGTGAGTTTGAAACTATATGTCAATCAAAACTTGACTTTGAAGCACTAAAAGCCCTAAGGAGTAGAAGTTCACGAGCATTCGGCAATTAAGTATTGATTGGTTTTGTTTGTAAAGGGCAGACCACGACATTATATTCAAAAGAAAATTGAAAATGAAAAGAAATATGGATTTTGAAAGATGACAATGTTATATGATAATCAAAGAAATTATGTTCGTTTATATTTCGATGAAATCATATGATAGCAAAGACTTTTCATTCGAATTTTAAAAAAACATTTAATTAAAACCATTATTGATCAGTATTATTGCACGGATGTATCATCTCTTCAGCTAGATATTTATATCTATACTTTTCTGGACGTTCTTGCAGAACAACTCTTCAGGATTTCTGGTGCTCTAAAACACGTATAAGTTTTAACTACCAGAAAATTAAAATCAGGCAAACATTGTTTTATAAGCAGTGATTTCATGTCTTAATTTGTGTTTGTGATTTACGAAAATGTGCTTTGTTTATAAATCTGATAAACTACATTAAAACTCAAAAACTTATACTAGCAACCAAAACCTTAAAATATACTCAGTAAATAAAGTTTGGCAACATAAATAAATCAAGTAAGAAGTTTAAATCATTATAATCAAATTTTTGTTGAGTAAAAATTGCACCTAATGGTTTATTTTCTTTGTTACAATATTTCATTTATTGATATGTCTAGAAGTATAATTGTTTTTTAAAATATAAAACATAAAATTAACAAGAGGCTGTCAGATTGACCTCAAACCGAATTTTCCTGCATGAAAATGATATTTGCAAATCTGGACCCCTAAACAGGATCAAGTAAACAAATAAATGAATTTTTGTAGGGTTCAGAAATTGAAAGGGCAAAATCAATCTAAGTATCACTTTTCGCTACTTAATGTCTACAACTCAACAACGATATTTAAGCCTTCGGAAATCCGGTTAAAATATTTGTTGCTAAACTATTTTTTTTCTCAGTATATTTCAGAAAATGCCATAATGTTAACTGCTTTGTAATAGCGTATATAGAACGCTAATTTTGATAGAAGTTTGTCACTCGTTATATCCAACAATACTTAAATTGCCTGACGATCCATAATTAGTCATAAATCCATAGGGTAGTTTATGCTAAGGGCAAATCTTAACAATGTTCGCGCTGAAAGTCATGCAATCATCTTTGAATCAATAAGAACCGAAGCTGTTTATTAACCGTTTAATCAGTTCTGATAGTACCATAATTGAAAAAGAGGAAATAAGGTAACTGTAACACTCCATTACGTCCTGTCCAACGTCGCGAGCCCAATGTACGTCTGCTTCATCTACCAAATCATCTAAGACGCTTGTTTCACAAGACATTGTTGATTACTTTGACATCAATCAAAGCATCTTGGCGGGAATCTTTGACCTACCCTTGTCGATTTTGCAGCTCGGTAAGGAGCCGATAATTAAAACATGTGTCATTGTTTATGTATTGACCATACTTATAAGGAGGGGGATATTTACGATGAGGTTATTTATTAAGATTAATGACGGACTGTCTTCGAAATAATTGAACGAATGCCATCTTTTATTAGAATGTTCATTTCTCATGATTCTATCTTAATTCTATACTTGGTCTTCAATATATAATTATCATAGACTATTTTCAAACAGTTACTGTGAATTGCAATTTACGCATCAAACGTATGTAATCAGTATGACGAACTCTGTAAATACATGTTATGGGAAAGATGGTCACATTTTCGTCCACTGTTCTGTCCATTGCTTTCTTGTTGGTTAATTATTTTTCGTCTGAAATAAGAATTTTGCATTTGGACACTTCAGTTGTTTTCCAATCATGCTGAAATTTATCAAGAGAAAAACTTTGGATCACTAACAGAAAAAAAGGAGACAAAACAATTGACGCCTCTGACGAAATGTCTAAAAAGCAATGCCGAATTTTATAAAAGCAAATCTTTGGTTTGTTCAACAGTTTCGAAAGGCATGATTGAAAATTGCTTACGAGTATCAATCTTTTTTGCTTGCATTTCGATCTGTTTGTCATACATGTAATAAGTTTCTCTCTGTTTTAGAACAAGGATGTCAAGTTTGATTGGTTTATTATATGACCGATCCGTTTTAGAGTATATGAAAATAGGAAAAACACAAAATATGAACAATTCAGAAAATGAGAAACAAATTGCAAGTTATCACTAATCGAATGAGTAAATGAAGCAATAAATAATATATTGATTAATCGTCATAAAATATACGTATTTGTCATGAAGTGGCCCACGAGGTTTGATTTTATCGGCAGAATTACCGTAACTCTCTGCATGCTTTCTATCAAATACCATACATGCTGACACTTTGCCTTTCTTCATTTGGAATATTTTGACATTGAAGTGCACCTCGCTATCAATTATCCATCGCTCTATTGTAAAATTTCCAATAACGAAAGATGCAACATCCAAAAATTATATGAAAGTTTTACTAATATAAAAAACGAAAATTTCCCGGGATTCTTCTTTGAACTGGAAATATGAAAGGAAATGAAAAATGAGATAATAATAACACTGGAAACAATTAACAGATACAAAAATCATTGCGGTTGAGTGTTCTGATTAAAATAATTCGATTTCATTCCCCTCTTGGTGCAATAACAGAAATGCATTTTAGACATTAACGTACCATGTTAATAAATAAATTATCACCTAGAATATTCCGAGAGTATGAAGTCATTTTAGAAGTGACTTGATCAATCTAGATACAAAAGTTAGCAACAAACATACCGGAAAACTAGATTTTACTATCAGTGATTTATTTAAGTACTGCACTTTTCTTAATAATCGCATTATTTACAATATGCTTTAGAGACTTATTAAACAAGCTGATATTGCTGACTGATAGGACTTTTTAGGATCATTGCTGAAGGACTGACAGAGTTAATTTAATACAAACAAAATAGACGTTTTTAATCAGTTAAAGAAAACTTCAAAGTTTTTTTTCATTTATTTTAAACAATTTTAATATGCATGTGCAAAATATAGATCGATTCCGAATAAATTTATAATGCATGTACAGTAACTATTTTCGTCGAACCTGAGACCTAAGCGGAGGCGAGGCATAACGATCCTGCTGGAAAAATAATGGTAAATTTCTATCAGCTTTTGAAATATATGCTTTTAGCTTTTCCCTGAAAAGATTTAAAAAATAATTCTAAGAAAATTTAACATGTTTTAATTTCAGTGACCTTATGGAAACATGTAATGTCACAGTGTTCGGAAGCCCACAACATGGCGTGTTCTTGGCCGCTTATTCAAATGAAAAATTATGACGATATCCTGTATCCTATTGGTGGATTCATTCCAGACTACAACGAAACTACTTTACATCAAATCTGCAGGTACAAATAACACAGCAATCAAAATCATTCAAATAGTCCAAGACATTTATATAGCATTGAAATAAAATAGAACCTTACACTATTTATAAATCGCATTATATATTTATATGAAACACCATACATCAAATAAGTAAACGACTACAGTTGTGGAATATTAGCTGCATATTTATATAAGAATGACATTTGGTATCCAGTTGTCCCCCTTGTTCTGTGATGTGACTTCTTTAAGTATTTACTTTGATTTGTCTATTTGGAGCAGTCTTTAGCTTTTACTCTTAATTTGAAACAATAATTTAGATTTTAAAAAGGTTTCAGTCAGTGTTGGTTTTTATACACCCGTCAACGACGGACATTTAACTGTATACCGTTATCCATCCGCCCATCAGTCCAGCACACTAACTAATGAACGCCTTAAGGAATTTTCTTTTTAAAAATCCTTAATTATTAAGAATGGTAATCTAAGAGTATGTAATTATGGCGATTTTCAAGTTTATCGTTTCAGACTCTTTTAATTTAAAGATCGAAATAAATACAATTTCATATGTGGCATACTTACGCAGGTAATTTTCTAACAACTTTCAAACTTCGAATTATTACTGAGAGTCTATTTTCATATTTTGGGCGACAACTTAGACCGAGTGGTAGTCTAAGTAGTTCATCTACTGTATCACTAGCCTGTTAAAAATGATATTGTGAGGTCAAACCTCGCACGTGGCAGGTGCGTTTGACTCCATCTTAATTGACTAGGGTTGTCAGTTTTCATGCCAAAGGTTGGTGGTTCTCGCCTTGAAAACCGACGTCCTCTACCAATAACAACTGACTGCTACGATATAACCAATAATGTCGATAGTGGCGCTAAAGACCAACTATGAATCAATCAATAAATTTTTTTTCCATTACAACGATTTCCTCTTTTTTCAGTTATTTGAATTTGTTTATGCGCATACTATCAAAGTTGGAAAGAGGAACATATTGTATACGTGTCCGACCGTTCAGTATATGATATATGTTTTGTGTACCTATATCCTCCTTTTAGTTTCAAGCTATGACTTTTATACAGATAAAAACATTATTTATATAAACAGATTGTTGCGGACGGGCGTATCATGCGGCCATGACAAACAAGTTAATTTTTACGTCGGATGTGACCTTGAGAGGTCATACCGGTATTCTGTTGTTGCAGAAATTTCGCTTTCGACTGATAACCGAACGTATTTCGTATAAATACGCGGATGTTATCGAGTGCAAAATAACATTTCTCATCGCTTGTTATAAATTCATTTCTTCAATGAATACTCATGAAAACATTTTTAAGAACATAAATAAATAACATGAAAATGTTTTGTCGTGAGAAATATATATAATGTTTATATATTATAAGTAAAAAAATCCTTAATATCTATGCACACGTACCGAAAAATTGTGTTTGCGGATGAATATGTCATTTATATCATGTGTATTGAAAAATTGTAAGGTGTACATATTTGTCTGGCAGGTATCATATTACCGCCTGTCATTTATTCATCATCCAACATAACTTGCGGTCATCCGATATTCAGTACTTTGATTATTAATGTTTGATAATGACCGTCTACTTATGTTATGAATAAACTCATTTTCAAAATATACAGCTATTTCCATTATCGAGATCTATTCAAATACTAACATGTTATACCAAAAATACATGTAATAATTTCTAAATTATGTCGATAATTTAAATGTGTATCAAGCCTCAACCAACGTGCAGGAAAAAGTCGATTGGATCGAAATAATTGCATCCAAATAAAAAAAGCAACAAAACAGGAAGGTGTTACAATGTCTTTTCTTTAAGAAATGAACAACCGAGTTTTTCTGATAAAATATTTATAAAATAACAAGTTTAATTCTTTTATGTGTGGTTATTTTGTATTACAAAAATTTCCCAAGAAACTAGAAACAATGGTATAATCATTTAAGCGTTATGAACTCAACCATACAGCTACCGTAGCTAACTATGAATGTTAATTGGATAGAAATTAACATTACGAATTACTAAGATGAAATTGATCTTATATTTTGTATTAGTGATGAAGGAAATGAGAAAAGCTCGATTAGATTCAATAAGAATTATTTCTGCATATCTGAATATAAAAAAGAATTGCGTGCAGCTGATAGTAGAAAATTCACCACCAACAATGACAAGTGTGATAATAGATGAATAAAAAAACTGTAAAGGAAACAAAAGAAAATACAAAAGATATGTGGAAAGATATCTATCGAACCTTGAATGTATAAAATGTTAGAATTACCTAACACTTTTGTAAATAGTTATTTTTTAAACAAATAGTTTTTGAAGACAGTAGATTTGAACTATCAGTTAGATCTGAACATATGTTATGGTTAAAATAAAGTATAACGATAAGGAAGAAAGAAAAACTAGAAATGTTTATGGACCATGATCGAAATAACCTTAATGTGGCGCCAATATTTTAAAATAATTGACAAAAATAAGTTTCTTAGGACAATTTAAATTGGAAAAACATCCATTTTTGTGTAAGTATACATAATAACATTTGTCTGTATATGTCAATCGACATTTTCAGATCAATCAAGTCAGATACGGAAATGTTGATATTTTACTTAACAAAATAACAAGATACCCGTTGAATTTGTAATAACTATGTTTGTCTGACATCAGTAAAAATCAAAATCATTCTCATAATAAAAGAAGTTTGTCAGTTTCATATCATTTGTCCAAATACATGTATACGAACATGGGATTGAAATACAGTTTGACCAGGTGCCTCCAAATAATACTAAATTTGGAGATACATGTATAAAATAAATCACAATATAGCTTTACTTTTTTATCATAGAGCTGTTAAAGATATATACGAGGCATTAATAGTAACAGAGGTTTGGGCCTATCACAAAAACTCCTCCAGCAAAGTTATGAGAAAGAACTACTGAAATCGACACAATTCAAATTATAAGATCACCATTACTAGTTGGTTGGCCTATGCGAAATGTCTTTTTCGCAGCACACGAGAGACATATGTTTTCCTAGTCTTTGATCTTATCTGCGATCGGTTTTTCATGTATAGATTTACGATTTTGTAACATCTGTAACCTAATATTGTCTGTTATTTATACCATATTCAAAAATCGAAAAACAATGTTTAATAAAAAAATAAAAACCGCAAAAATAGAAAAAAAAAACGAAGATAATAGATGAATTCCAAAAAGACCGAGAGCCTCAATTCCGGGTATCTGTCTTTGTAAACTTTCATTCAAATGCATGTTTTAATATCTTAATACAAGTATAATGACAAAGGGTTGTAATAATTATCTTATACGTTACTAATTTAGTACCACCTTTAGTCTTTTTCAGGAATATAAAACTTGTTCACAGCCATTCTTCATGAACTGTGACCAAGAAACCTTAACAGAATTCCATATTTTAGACAGTGCCTTTTCGCCTATTTGTGGTCATTTAGCAGCAGGTAAATCCAGTATGCGAGTATTAACGAGCAATTGACTTATAACATTTTGCATGTGGTCTAATAACAAAAAAAAAATTAGGTCTTATAGAATAATAATAAAAAAAGAAATCCAAAATGTCGAATCATTAACAGTAATTTTGATATATTTATATATTGTTTTACCTGCACTTTATCAAATGATAGATGAGCCTGTCCCATTAATACTTTTCAGTTTTTTGTTTTTTTAGCTTTCTCATTAATGTAATTGTTTATTGTCTATGAATGTCCAGTAAGGCTTTATTATTAGTGTGTTATTTACCTGTACTTATGAACGACATACTGAATTGTCTGAAAAGATACTGAACAGTACTGAAATAACTGCCAGCGAATTGTTTGAACAGTACTGAATATACCGCAGTGGATAATAAGTCTGGAAATTGACCAAAAGAGTGAACATGACTGAATACTGGTTCAGACTTTTCAGATGAAGTAAAGATCAAAATTACCTTTTAAGGCTGATATTTATTTATTAGTGAGTAATTTTCCGACAAAACATCAGCAAAGTTTAGAACTGTTGATGTCTGAGATTTTTACAATCATATGAATCAAACAAGCTATAACTGATTTGGAAGAAGAGTAACATTATGATAGTCTATTCGTAACATGTCTGCTTTGTTCAATACAAGTAGTACTTTTGAATAGTTTTACAGCTTGCATGTAGAAAATACAGACAAATAAATCAAACATCTCATTGCAAACTTTACAAGCCAATAACAGCGTCTTGCAAAGAACATTCATCAAAATATAATTAGAAACTAAATGAGAAAAAATCTTTTGGTCATTTGGGGTTTATCTTGTTATAAACAAATAAATGAAATACCTTTGGCATTCAACAAAAACTAACAATATTTAAAAATAAAATTGAAAAAAACTGATTATATAACAAGAAAACAACAGAGTGAGTGAAAGTGACAAAATGCACACAAGAGATACACATTATATAATAAATCCAGTTAAAAAAGATACACATGCGTTTTTTTATACATATTTTATGTATATTGGTAACAAAAAGATACAGTACTAGTTTAACAAAGTACATTAATTTAATGATGTGTATTAGGATAATGAGTATGAAAAACTAAAGACACAAGATACCAAAGGGATATCCAAACTCATAAGTCGAAAATTATCTGACTGCGCCACGGCAAAAAACAAAAAAAGACAAAAATACAAACATCAGTACAAAACACAACATAGAATACTAAAGACTGAGCAACACGAACCCCACCAAAAACCTGTGTGATCACAGAAGCGATAAGTCTAATTCGGTTGGTCACATTCGTGGAAAGAAGGGAGGATAAAGGTGACAAAGTTTACATATATACATTCATGTACAATAAATCAGATGTTACAATACTTGCACACTACACCTGCATATCAGGTATGCTCAACGATGGGAAATGAATGTACAAAGATTGGATCATGAAATATAGCAAATGTGGTTTACAGTTGTACAAATCTTCTAAATCCATTTTGAATATACAAGTGCAAACAAGTATGAGGATCATATATAAATCATTTAACAGTGCAACCACAAAATGTAAGGAAATGTTAAATCATTTACATTAGATAGTTAAAACTTAACGTAAATGTACACAAACTGAAAAATGTTCTAGAGTATCTAGATTTTTGGCGGTTTCAGTTAAATGATTTTCATTTGCAATAACAAGTTAAAGGCATGTGTTCTGTCTCCTTATTTGTTGCAGTCGGATTTATGTTCAAAGAATCTAAACATAGTTGTTAACATTTTACTTAAGAATTTTTATTTTCATATACTTGTACACGAAATGAATGTAATCTCGTTGCGATTTTTATAATCATTATGAAATACTGTTAATAGACAAATTCACAATTCACAAATGTACAAGTTTTCTGTGATGTCCTTTTTTTTGTTCATGCTGTAGACATAATACATTAAGATTGTAAAATATTACATTGAGATTGTAAACAAGATTAAAACATTTTAATTTATATTTGTTGGAGATACATGAATTCTTTTTATCGATAACTTAACACTTTTGCCTTTGATCTTGATGATACTGTCGTATTACATAAAAACGACATCGTTAATAAAAACAATAACTTCGCGTCAGATCAATCATGACGTAACTGATAAGGAAAATATCAGCTTTTCATAACTTCTGATAGATCTCTGATCGTCCTCTCAGACTGGCTTAGAAACTTGTGAAATTATCTTTCTGAAACATAAAAAAACCTTTATTTCTTTACTGTTTCCAAATTTTAACTGGTAAAACTACTTTTGATGTTGACCGAAAATCACATGTAACGCATTCTGGTATTCTGAGTTACAAATTTCTGTTATATCGAATTGTAGCACATTGATTTTACGAAAAACAAATTTGCACTGCAGTATTTCAATACAGATCTGTGTGTAAAATTTTACCTAAAAGTCTGTAGACGTAAGACTTAATATACAATTTCCTTTTTTATGACAGAATGTTTTTTACTATTATTGACAATATTTTTGGAACTTTTCAAGTCTGTATATATAATTTCAGAATATATTAAACAAAGAAGCTGTTTTCAACGATTGCAACGCACATATAAAAAGTGTCAAGAACATAGACAAGAACAATTAAATATGCAAGAGCCTGATGCAATACATTATAAATTACACATGTGCACGTATGTATTAATTTTGTTATTTGACGTCAGTTGAAGGCCATTTATACTTTTAGTGTATAAGAATACATGTGGATATCGCCCACTTGCATCTCTATGATCTAAGGGACTATAAGATTTTAAGTGTCCAGCCTTTTATGCTAATTAATTTAATACATTGAAAATATAATAGTTATCAACTTGACTGCTTTTCCCAAAGTGTCTGCCATGTTGAAATGATTTACACATACTGTAATACTGTTGTTTTTTTATTGCCTTTGATGATATTTACATGTATTTCATTATACCCCAAACCCACCTTGAAGAAGGGGTGTACAGTGATGCACATGTCCAAACATTCGTCTATCCGTCACAAGTTTAGTTTCCGGGTGGTAGTTAGAATACCGCAAAATCTTTTGAAATTTTAACAATGTCATGGACAATTTAATGTAACTCAATTACGATTTTGATGATGTTCACATGTACTGTTTAAGAGTTATACATGTTACCTTCAAATATTATATTTCTTTAGTTTCCGGATGATAATTAAAGTATCACTTCACATTCGCCTTTGAAATTTGAACACTATGTCATCGGTCACAAACTTCGTTGCCCATTATCAACCTTAAGAGTATATATATATTTTTTAATTTCTGGATGATTATTAAAGTACCACAATATCAAATCTTTTAAAATCAGAATACAATGACATGGACAATACAATACAGGTCGAGTTTAATTTTAATGATTTTGACAATTACCGTTCATGAGTTATTCTCGTCAGTTACCTGAACACTTGATATTTATTTACTTCCAGGTGATAATGAAAGTACCATTTTACAAATATATTTTTACACAATGCTATGAAACATAAAATACATAGATATAAGAAGATGTGGTATGAGTGCCAATTAAACAACTCTCCATCCAAGTCAAAATTTGTAAAAGTAAACCATTATAGGTCAAAGTACGGCCTTCAACACGAAGTCTTGGCTCACACCGAACAGTAAGCTATGAAGGCCCCCCAAAATGACCAGTGTTAAACCATTCAAACAGAAAAACCAACGGTCTAATCTATATAAAAAACGAGAAACGAGAAACACTTATGTACCACATCAACAAACGACAACCACTGAACATCAAGTTCCTGACTTAGGACAGGTGCAAACAAATGCAGCGGGTTTAAACGTTTTAATAGGCTCCAACCTTCAGCCTACCTGAAACAATAGTGTAACATCACAACATAGAAAGACACACTATAAAATATCAATTGAAATGGCTTAACTCAATCAAAAGACATATTAACAAAAACAAGTGAACATACACTGAACGAATTATTTTGATCTATGACACAATGAAAATACAAAATTAATAAAACAAGGCAGGTCACATTCAAGTTAATTTTTTTAATTTTTTCATTTACCCTTTAAGAGTTTTTCTATAAAAGGTAGTATTTGTGATCATTAGATCACTTGATTCTAAATTATCTAGGGAGTAAGATTAATACCATTGTTCTATTTCAAAAGATGATTTGTTATATAACTATATCACGTGCATCGGGTGTAATTTTTTCAAAACATCAATTAAAGTTCCAAAACCGTATTGAATTTTGTGTTTTCCATTCTCTTTAACTTCGTACTTAATTTGTCCGTTTTTGTCGAGCCTGCGACTTTTGGTCGCAGAAAGCTCGATATAGGGATAGTGATCCGGCGGCGGCGGCGTTAGCTAACTTCTTAAAAGCTTTATATTTCAGAAGGTGGAAGACCTGGATGCTTCATACTTTGTATATGGATGCCTCATGTTACGAAGTTTCCGTCAGTCACATGTCCAATGTCCTTGACCTCATTTTCATGGTTCAGTGACTACTTGAAAAAAAAGTTAACATTTTTTGTAATGTTAAATTCTCTCTTATTATAAGTAGTAGGATAACTATATTTGGTATGTGCGTACCTTGCAAGGTTCTCATGCCCGTCAGACAGTTTTCACTTGACCTCGACCTCATTTCATGGATCAGTGAACAAGGTTAAGTTTTGGTGGTCAAGTCCATATCTCAGATACTATAAGCAATAGGTCTAGTATATTCGGTGTATGGAAGGACTGTAAGGTGTACATGTCCAACTGGCAGGTGTCATCTGACCTTGACCTCATTTTCATGGTTCAGTGGTTTTAGTTAAGTTTTTGTGTTTTGGTCTGCTTTTCTTATACTGTATGCAATAGGTCTACTATATTTGGTGTATGGAATGATTGTAAGGTGTACATGTCTAGCTGGCAGGTGTCATCTGACCTTGACCTCGTTTTCATGGTTCAGTGGTCAAAGTTAAGTTTTTGAGTTTTGGTCTTTTTTTCTAATACTATATGCCATAGGTCAACTATATTTGGTGTATGGAAATATTTTATGATCTATATGTCAGTCACGTAGGTTTTATATGACCTTGACCTCATTTTCACGGTTCATTGATCAGTGTTAAGTTTTTGTGTTTTGGTCTGTTTTTCTTAAACTATAAGCAATAGGTCAACTATATTTGTTATATGGAAGAATTGTTAACTGTACATGTCTGCCTGGCACGGTTCATCTGACCTTGACCTCATTTTCATGGTTCATTGGTCAATGTTTAGTTTTCTTGGTTAATGTTAAGTTTATGTGACAGTTGTAATAAAGCTTTATATTTAGGACTATCAACATAATATCAATGATTAGTAAAGAAGGCGAGACATTTCAGTGTGTGCACTCTTGTTAACATTTTTAATTCGAGCAACACTGAAGAGTCTTTTGTAGACGAAACGCGCGTATGGCATACACAAATTTTAATCATGGTATATATGATGAGTTTATTTATAAAGAAAAAAATAATACACTTATCTATCATTTACAGGGTAACTAATGAATATGTTGGATGTACATTTACAGTGACAGCGTTGTTATGTTCTTTGGAAGCAGCAAATGTATATTTCAAAATTATAAATGAATCTATATCGTTCTTGCTTCTGAATTCTGGATTTTCATGTACAATTCGACATCCAAATGACGTTATAAAAGTTATAACGACAACAACGTCGACGACGACGATAACAACAGAGATAAAGACTACACCAACTAAATCGGTCCTACCATCTGTGACACAACATTCTAAAAACCCAACCAGTTCCGGGAAAAACTTAAAACTTTCGTTAAGTACTTTGCTGTGCGTATTTATCATATCAAGTGTTCTACAAGCATTGGATGTATAGCATTACAACTGGTAAATTTGTTGCATTTAAATGTTAAAAGTTTGTTTTTTATTATTTTAGTTATTTACTTAGTGAGTGCTGATGATCTCCAAATGGAGTACATAATATTAATGTCTTATGTAAAACTAGCTACGTATAGGACATCAGCTTTTAAGCATTATTTTTTTGATTCCAAAACAAGACTTATAAGAGACCTGAAATCGTAGAGGATAAAGCGTGTCGGACACACATTCCTTTCATTGTAACATAACAAAAACATGAATGTCAATTGAAACAAATGTAATTTATAAAAGTTTGTATGAATTGTTTTCTATGAATTTGGTAAAAACAAATCCAACATGGAAGTGCTAAAAATTAGATATTGTATATATACAACCTAACAGAAATTACTGTCAAACTTATATGCAAGATTGTTTCTATTTACACATATCTGCAATAAACATGGCCACTAGCAGAAGGAAAGGACTAGAATTCGAAAGTCAGATACTTCTAGCTAGAGGAAATGAGACGTTTTCGTGTCCCACTCTCGACACCGGTATTACGTTATTTCTTATTACACTGATATGATTGCATAAAGTGATTTGAATAACGCATCGTTACTTTGTCAAAGGTACATACAAATGCAAAATGAAACGACCATCATAATTTATTTTATGCAACATAAGAATCCTATATCATCGCCTTTAGTAAAGACACTCCATGCAATTTGAATGCACTTTACTGCATTGTCCGTTCAATTTAAATACTTATAAACATGAAGCTATAATACAAATGTTAAATTCAAAAATAATTTGAATCACTAGAAAAGTGTAGTGTTTGTATGAATTTCATGGCTATAATATGCATGTGTTTTTTTTTTTAATTAAGTCTGAATACACGTCATTATTTGAATTGACACAGACAGAACAAGTTTAACAGAACAAAGATTTTCTCTCCAAATTAACAAGCAACAAATGCACGTCAAAACTTTTTTTTTATTCTGTTTTCATTTCTTACCAATGATTTTTATAGTAGGAGGAGACGATTTATAGCAAATAGTTTGTGAATGTCAACTCTTTTGATTTGATATATGCAGTCTCAGAAATGTGTAATATAACTAAAATTGTTCAGCAATATGTATATTTTTTCCGGTCATCGAACGATTTATAATATCGTTGGTATATTGTGAGATGTTTGAACATGATGCTGTTATATTTACATATGTTAGATATATCCTACAATAAAAGTATATTGCACAAACATTTGTAAATATTGTAGAATATCAATTGTTTGTGCAATACATAATTATATCCTTGCAGCATCATCTATATCTACTCAATATTTATGTACAGTGCACTAAACAGAGCTGTATTCTACTGAAGGTTGAAAAGACAGTAATCTGACGATTTAATACAGACTTAAGCTTATTAAATCTGATATTTCCTGCAACATCTAAGAAAGTCCTATTATGTTTTAAATCAAAGTTATTAATTTGTTGATTGCCTCCTTGGTAACATTCGGTTTTTTTTTCATGAAATCAAAGCTTTTCGAGATCATTTGCTAATGAAAAGATGAGAATATGCGGTACAAAAATATATATAATATACAAAACCATAGACAAACGGGGTTCACACGAGTTTTCAGCATCGATATTTTCTTAAAATTCTAATGTAATAATTTCTTTGACCACTGTATACAGTGGATGATTATTATTTTTGCAAATCACGGGTAGGTATGATAAGAGACTTATTCTAATTCTTATCCGTTTTATACTTTCCCAAACTGGATGATATTTTTTTATAAACTATGCCTGGTTCTTTCGATATCAATTCTTCATTAATCAAAATTCAACTATGACATCAAATGTTCCTGCTTTACTCATTATTCGCTATCGTGACGTCACTTAAAAATAGACCATACCTCTTAAAAGAAACACTGATAGTTTTGTAGATAATTGAAAAAGGAAGATACATTTGCCTATACATTTTGTTTAAAAATCATAAGAGAAAAACATTTTACTACGGTATCTCATGCGATGAAATATTTCTTCACTCTCGGCAGTTAAAATTTCAATTATTTAAAAGACTCAACAAGCCTTTTATTTTAAATTTGAAAATTTAATTCTCGATAGTCTCCATATTGCACAGAGAAATCAGTACCATACTTTTCTATTCATTGTTTTCAATTCTATAATAAATAGAACGGACAAAACTGAGAATAGTTGAATGAAAATAAAACTTTAAATTTGTTGCATCCGAATTGCATTTCTTGATTTACCTCCAGCAAGAACGGTCATACCCCAAATAAATTGATAGCCAGTGACGTATAAATATCTAAGCATGTGTAGAGCTATATGATCAAAAGGGACATTAAAGGATAATCAGAACCATCTAAAGTCAACTTTGCATGAGGGTTACAGCAGATGTGTATGCTGTATAAACATATTTATAAACAGAAGAATAATACCCTAAAACTTAATACATCTATCATACAAATAATAATTATTAAAAAAAACGCATGTGTAAGGATATATTTAACATGATTATAGATTATGTTTGTATAGTTTCATGATTGATCCGTGACAATGAGCCGTTTTTTGTTTATATCTGTTAAATATTTATTTGAAAATGTAAAAAATATGTATAAATGTAAATATGATATGTTTGTTATAATAAATCTTTGATAAGAATCTTATTATTTTTTACTTATCAAATCAGTGTTAGCTACGATTTTGGTAGTATGAGTCGAAAAGGAAATAAAGTAGGTTTTTTTTCGTTTGAATATTTGAATTATAATTATCTATAATCAGTCAGATTGGTTCCAACGCTTTGCTGATACATTATTACAAAACATTATTCCAACTTCATTTGGATCCACGTATATGCAATCTATGATATGGTCAGTATGTACTGAAAAGTATGCCAGCTGAAATGGTCAAACTAAGGAAACCAACAGGAAGACCAATTTCGCTGACTTTTAAGGCCCGCCAAAATTATTTTTTGTAAAGTGTTAATGTATATTTTTTTTATTTACTTTATTAAATTAAGCATATTATTTTTACATATTTATATGTATGCCCATCGGCCATCTCCGAAGGTCAATGTCGATGGTTACTTAAATGCCATCTAGTCCCAAAATGTTGATACTTTATAAAGATTCTATGCATTGTTTATTGTTTCTTATGAAACTTTTGTAATTCTCACATACGGTTTATCATGTTATAAATAAAAATTCAGATTTCAAGTCAATTCAGTCGTCCAGAATTGTATGCCGCTTTATCAAAGCATACAATATGCATTTGAATATCAACAAATTGTTTCTATTTTTTCTGGATTTATCCTTATTACAAAACGTCAGCAACAGATAGAGATTCAAAGTCATACAATACATTGTATAACATGACATATCTCGTAGGTCCGAAAACAAGATGGTCGCTATTGAACAACCAAGTTAGATTGTAGTCGTAATAAAACATATGTAAGGAAGGCTTTTATAAAAACTTAAACTTACAATAACACACACCATATAGTTAGGAACGAACAGAAAGAAGGAAACAGTGTTGCGCTGATAAAATTTAGAGCTATGGAGATGGTATATATTAAAATTAGTTATATTGTTTGTGTTTAGTCAGCCAATTGCTCCACGAAACCTCTTTTAAAACTATTAACATCAATTTTATCAGCAGCCAAAGTCGGACTTCAGAGTAACTGTAAAACTGCATACTCTATCAGCGTTTTGAATCAGATGTGGATACTCAAAAATTTTAAGAATCTGTAAGGGTACATGCAGTTTTAGTTTTTTTCTCTTACAAAAGAGAGGCGAAATATATCAAAGCAATTTTCAAACTCATAAGTCGAAAACAAACTGACAACGCCATGTCCTTTAAAAAAAAAAAGTCGAAAAGGCGAGCAACAGTACAACATAGAAAACTCAAGATGAGCAACAGGAAGGCCACCAAAAACCAGGGGTGATCATGTGAGAACATACTAGGTGATAGATCTAATTCGGTAAGTCACATTCGAGGAACAGAGAACGGGATTGTGGTAACGACAATTGGAACATATCCGTCGTCATCTGTGAAACAGATATTCCATAACGGTTAACCAACTCTTGATGGCACCATAAAATTTTGTATTAACTTGGAGATGTATGAAGTCTGTCTCATATGAATAAAGGAACAAGTCGGCAAGAAAAGGTGCACAATTAGGTCCCATGTGAATACCGATTGTTTGTCGAAAAAGAACGTTCTCCGTAACAATTATGTTATCAATCACACTTTTGAGTTAAGGTGGGTTCGTGTTGCTCAGTCTTTATTTGTCTATGTAGTGATTTATGGACTTGTTCGTCTTTTCGTGGTTTTTCGTTATTTTTTTGTCATGGTGTTGTTAGTTTTGCTTCGACTTATGAGTTTTGAATGTCCTCTTGGTATCATCCGCCTTTTTGTTAAATATGACAAATGCAGGTACAGGGACCACCGTGGACATGTAATTACGTTAGCTAATCTTATGAAAATATGAGTTACTTATAAATGATTTAAAAAGTAAAATGATTTTCACATTTTATGTCTTTGGTATAGACACACTGACCAACATGTTTACCAAATCGTTTCAAAATGCATGACTGAAAGAAAACTAAATAAAGGCAACAGTAGTATACCGCTGTTCAATAGTCATAAATCGATTAAGCGAAAACAAATCCGGGTCACAAACAAAAACCGAGGGAAACACATCAACAATAAGAGGAAAACAACGGAACAACAGAAACACTGAACTGCAACAAAAACAAACGCCAACATACATAGAAACGGACTATTTGTTAACATCTGCCATATTCCTGACTTGGTACAGGACATTTTAAGAAAAAATGGTGGGTTGAACCTGGTTTTATGGCTAGCCAAACCTCCCGCTTATATGGCAATGTTAAAAATATCGCTAAAATGAGAACTTTACGGTACAGGAATACAGTACAAATAAACGCAAGAACACTCAAGACAGAGAAACACATCAATAAATAATAGTACATTACAACATGTAAACTACAGAATAACAACGGACAACTCCCACGAATCCACGACAGGACACCAGGACACCACAAACGGATTATAAACTGTGCGTCACACGAATGTATCAACGCCACAAAAAGTGACGTATTTTTTGTGACGTTTATATTATCACAGGTAAATTTCTACAAATAAAATAGATTTGTTTTATTGTAGACACGTACAAGAACATAAGATTGAGTTTGTAATGGTGTTATTTTATGTATTTTCTAACCATAACAAGAATATTAAAATGGAATTCTGTATGTAATGGTAATATTATTTGTATTTTCTAACCATGTCGGTTCTTCTTCTAAATCAAAACTGTGTAAACAAAAAAATCCTGTGCATATGGTTGCTTTAAACTAAAAATCATTCAAATGAAATAGCTGATTAATTATCTTAACTTTTACATACATGTAGAAAATAAAAATAAAATAACTGTAATATAAGGCAAGATCATGTAAGACCAAACAGTAAACACTCTTGAAAACAAACAACATAAAACAAAAATACACTGTAGACAAACCACGAGTAACTCGACTATACTGACAAATAAGACATACCGAAAATATAGAATTCAAACCACAAACGATATGACATAAAACAATATCTAACCAGACTTACAAAAGAAACATCATAAATAAATACATGAATGTTGGATGTATTAATACCGAGACACGAAAAAAATGAACATACACAAAGAATAAATGAGCATATATAATTTATAGAATTTCCTTACTAAAACCGTAGTGATCGATGATTTTATTGAATTTTGGCAAAATACATTGTCCTATTTTGAGAATTTAAATATCAAAATACATTGTAAGAGGGATAACTCATGTATAATTTCTAATTATCAAAGAAATATATGAACAGATAAAATGAAAGAAAGAAATAACGTTCAAAATATTATGCATGAATCGACATTCCTTCTATGTATCATAACTTCATTGTTTTGAAAACCATTCTCAAATTGACAGCAGAAATCGTTTCACCGATACCAAGCACTTTTGTGTTGAAAGATTGCGATATGCTTGACTGTGATTTATGACAAATATAAGGACAAAATGGCATATTTACAGTTATTATAAAGAAGTTTTTTTGCGAATAGTATTAAAAGGGCTTTTGTGTTTTTGCTTCAATTGTATGCCTTGTCATGTCTTTGTCTTGCTAATAACAAAAATGAAAAAAAAAAATGATGCGTAAACGTCACTGACTTTAAGACAAAATATGAACAGTTAGCAAAAACAGACAACTAGCTTTCAGTAACTGTGAGAACTCTAAGATCTGTAAATTGTGTCTTTTGTATTTTTGTGAGTTTTTTTTAATGCTTTGTGTCCATTTTAACTGATTTAAATAGTTTGTTTTCATGTTGCACTGTTAAACGACTGTCCTAGGGTAGGTAAAAGTTTTTGTGCCAGCAAACATGTTTAACACCGCCACATTCTGTATGTGCCTGTTCCAAGGCAAGAGCCTGTAAATCTGTGGTTGTCGTTTGTTGTATATCATATTTGTTTTTCGTTTATTGTTTTGTACATACATCAGGCCGTTAGAAGCAAACTATGAAAATGTGTTTAAACTTATACAAGTGTTCTGATATTATATTTTTTCCTTTCCAGGCTTTTATTAGCCTTGTTAAAATGTTGCACACGTTAAACTTAACCATTTACATAAAACTGGGAGGTATATTTATCAGATGGATTGTTAATGCAAATTTAATATGATATGACGACATATAAAAGGGAAAAAATCATCATTAGACCATCGGGAAGAAAAAGCCATATATTCATGTTTCATGTGGAATAGATGCTGCAGTGTGAATAAACAGAATGTTTACTTCCATTTACATAGATTTAAAAAATATTTTCAGGTTGATTTTGAAAAAATCAACAAATTTATGTGATGTGTTTAAGATTTTTTTTGACTACACAGACGATGTGTTCTTACTTTAAATTAAAAGCTAGAAAAAATAATATTTGTACACGTGTTTCAGTTGATTGTAAATATTTGCTGTTTATACATAATGAAATAAGAATAAGAATAATTCAATTCCTGACGCTGTTTACATCAATGTGAATACATGTAATTAAATAAAAGATGACATAAGCATGAACACTTCAAATAGGCGAAAGTCAAAGTAATAGTCTGCATGAGAATTGAGCAAAAAAGAAATATTTGTACAGTTGCAGTATGGGTGGAGATGAGAGGAATGCGTAATATTTACAATTTACTGTCTTACTAGGATAGATAATTCACATACCTTATACCCAAGATTATATAGGATAAGTTATAGGCGTGAGTTTTATAATGCATTCTAACCTAAATCTCATCTGGTAAGAACCCATATAAAAATCATTCTCGAGTTTCAAAATACTTTTATATGATTATTAAGACCAAAACAAAAACAACATTTGCAGGTTTTTCACCCATGAATCACATTTTGCATAATTATTAAATGGATTTGTTCTTAAGCTAAAGGTGTATTCCAATATGATCGAGTTATTTAATCATCTCTGGCATTAAAACGCAAACTGACATTACTTTGTTGAGTTACAGTCGGTAGCCTGTCATTCAGATGCTGTTGTTGGTCGCTGTCTTTTTATATTTGTTTATTGTTTGTACGCATATCCCCGTTTTCTCGTTTGATTTGTTCTACATGTTGTCATGTCATAGCCTTTTATAACTTACTAGAAGGTATGGTGTTCCTCAATGTTGAAGACTGTACGGTGTCCTATAGTTGCTTACATCTACCTCATGTGTTCTCTGATTGATAATTGTCTCATTGGTTAAAAATCAAATCTATTACATTAAACAAAAAACAATCGAAACCCGGTGTTTTACATTAAACAAAGAAAAGACTGAAGATACCAACATGACCAAAGGGATGTTTAAAGCTCGACGAGATTCCGACACCGCCATTGCAAAAAAAAAAAAAGACAGACGACGAAAAAAACAAACCAGTACACAAAATATTACATAAAATCTAAAGACAAGTTATTAATTATTTCATGGAAAGCTACTTTCACGGTTCGTTCATTTTTTTTTATAGAAGTCTTAAAATCAATAATAATTTCATAAATAATAACGAAGCTTTATTATAGAAGTAGAGTAAAATTTGCAGGTTATAATCTCAACGTTTAATAGAGTATAGTATACTTTTTTCTACAATTTAGAATTAAACTTATGCTCAACTGTTTAAACAGTTTATTATAATGTATATTTACGTTAACCGTCTTCGTTTTTATTTTTCTAAAACGAGCAGTTAATAGATTTTAGTGAACATTATTATTGTCTAGGGATAGCCCGAAACTTGTATGTCTGAGGAGTGTTTACGAGGCCCTTTATTGGATCAACTGGAGGTGGAATCTCTCCTTCCACTGGCAACAATTCAAATCGTTGAACCATTGATGTAATATATAGAAATAGCTCCATTCTTGCCAAGGATTCTCCGGGACACACTTGTCTTCCTAAAATTAAAAACCGATTTTATACACACAAAAATCAAGAAACAAGAAAATGTACTCAAAGAAAAACATTTTCGCCAATACACTAAACTGTACGTATTTTCTCAGTATAATTTACAATCAATTTTAATCGTAAGATTTTATTAAAAATAGCAAAGATTTCAATTGGACATGACGTCACTATTGTATCATTATCAATTTCTTATGAAATTTTACACGGGAATTTCATCGGACTATGTGGTATCTAAGCTTGTGTAATTTCGACAATAAAAGGAAATTTTAAATGAAGGCAATTTCATTTGCAAAATAAATAAAAGAATAGAAAAAAACAAGACATAAAAAAAAACATAAAATAAAACATCAGAAAATTAGAATGACTCAAATCCATTGAAAATGAATTCCAAAAAATCAGATAAATATGAAATTTATAATGAAGATATGCCAAAACTATACGTGATCACCAGCCAAGTTTCAGCGCTTCTGTGTTGGCATGAATTATCATTGATGTGGTCATAATTATAAATTATCTGTTTACACAAAACTTTGAATTTTGGAAATACACAGAAAGGATATTCTACCCAAAAAAAGATTACGTTAGCTGTATTTGTCAAAAATCTTCGGAATTTTGGGTCCTAAATGCATTTCAACTTCGTACTTTGTTTGGCCTTTTTAACATTTTTTATTCGAGCGTCAATGCTGAGTCTTTCTTAGACGAAACGCGCTTTTTGCGTACCATATTTTAATACTGGTATCTATGTTGAGTTTATAGAAACATTGAAAAATGTACCAGAAACAGAGCAATACGAATTTCCCTAAAGGTACACAAAATATACGGGTTATATACTCCATGTATGCATCCGCCTGGTTTTGCTTTTAAAGACAGTAATTAGTTATAAAAAACCAATGCAAAAATTGAAATAGGAAGGAAATATAACTGCAGTCATTGATTAACACATTTTGTAATGTTAAAACCCTTAACGTTGTGATTGATCAACATTTTGGCTAGTTAAACCAGTTTGAATTTAAAACCCAGAAGCGGCGATATCACTGCGTTAAAAATGTATTTTCCCTTGCATTAAACCTCAACTGTACATAGGCTAGACTTGCACTGACAATGTTAAGCTGTCTGTGCGTTAAAGAATCATTGAAGCCACAAGAAAAAAACTTTCAAAGGGGTCCGTAGGTGACATATTTAAGTTTAATTGTTTGCACGTTCCAACATATACTCATTTTCAATGGCAGTGCAAATTGCGTCTTCATGGAGGACTACCTTCTTGGCAGGACATACCTAATGTATTGATTATTTTAAAATGATCTTGCCTCAGTTTGCATTTAATATTTGCCAAGCAACAATCAATTAATTATAAGTAGGAGACTCACGCTACGCGTTTTAATGAAGCACTTGTATGATTCATGAATTGAAATAATTAAGCTTGCCACGGTTGTTGCTCTGCATATTGTAGAGCATCTCAAACACAAACATGAGTGTGAAAATCAAAGTTACTGTATGAATTTCAAACATAATTAGATTAGGTGTGTCGAGAGGGTTAACATCTCTTTCCGCGATTCAGAGTATCAAAAACTGTGACCAGAGCACTACTGGTAATAATTTTAAATTTAAATTAGTCAACATACGAGATTTATGAGATTTAAAATGTATCATGTGATTTGAGAAATTTACACTGTAAAGAACCGAGATATCGACCTACATGTAGAAACAGTAAAGGTACTAATGTTACAGTACCAGATGCGTAGTGCGACTATTTTTTTTCTCTCCGGTGATGCTCGAGACCAAAATACTTAAAGATCAGAACATAATACAATCTTTAAGAGCTGATATTACCGGAGAATGCTAAAAAGTAATGAAAGGTCCAAACAAGGATCACAGCTATGCACAAGGGAGATACAATTTCATTCACGAATTCCTCTTCATAATTCTGTTGATATTTGTGTTGGATTATGGGTTCTATACATGTTCAATCGTCATCATGATAAAAAGATGGTGTATCTTGAATCAACTGAGATACATAAACGTCATCAGCAGGGAAAGAGGGTGTTATTATCGAGAAATGAAAATTGACAATTTAAAAACTATAAAGCTCATTTTTCATTTAACTTTTAATTTTGCGCCGCTATTCATCATTGATTGTCGTTTAGTTTACTTTCAGCGACAATATGTCATGCATATTCAGGACAAGAAAAAACTAGTAAAACATATCAATTGGTATGAATTTAAAATTTCATCGTCTGGTACGAAGACGGAAATTTTGACTGCCACTTGAATAAGATATATTTAACTATAGAACAATTTTGCCTGAGAACAAACGAACATCCAATAAATGGACGTGGATATTGAGTTATAAAATGCCGCACAGGTAAGCAGATGCCCACTCACATGTTTTTCTTTTCTTGTTTTAGAGATATATTCAGGTATCCGTATTTGTGTACACACGTCAACTCTTAGTAAGGTCTGTTGTTATAGATGTTGCATGTACATATAGAGTAAAACTAACTGTAAAATATTCAATATACTAACATACCTAATGAAAAGATAACATTTTTATCTTGATTACAAAGGTTTCCTTTTTCATCTATGAATCGTTCAGGTTTGAAGACATGGCTCTCTGGAAAGCATGTTTCATCAAAAGCAACCGAGTCCAAACATGGTATAACACTTCCTTTTGGTATAACATATAAATCTTTGTAGACATTTTTTTCTGACACAAGATGAGGAAGAGACAATGGTGCGACATTACCAAACCTTAATGTTTCATGGATAACTGCCTCACAATATTTCATTTTAGGTTTGTCGGCAAGTGTAGGAAGTCGTCCAGATCCTACAACATCTTCAATTTCTTGTCTCATTTTATTTTGAACTGTCATTTTGTTAAGTAACAGTAAAATCGTCCATTTTATCACTGTAAATGTAGTCTCGGTTCCCCGCCAAATAAATCTGTTAATATAGAAGCCAGCCGATCCTCTAAAAGATCAAAACAACACTTTATAAATTTCATGCGTCCGAAGCGCTTTCTAGATTCACCTTCATCAGGAACTCTCAAAGCCAAGGATGTATACAAACCGAAACACACGAACAGATATTATTATTTTAAATTAATTTAGAATGACACTTAATACAATTTGGTATGTCCAAAGCACTAGCTGGATTCACCTTCATCAGGAACACTCAAAACCAGAAATCCGACAACCATCTGTATGTATTAAGATTTGAGACCTTTATTTCTAAATTGGGCCTTAAGAGAATATCCAAAACCTTCTAAGGTCAATATTGCATTAGAGAGGGAGTTGGAACCGTAGTTTCTTAATTTTTTTTAACTTCATCAACGTAACATTTATGTAATGCATGTTTTCTTAAACATGTCAGTACTGAACCACTGGCTTCTGGTGCGAACAGCCTACCAGCAGCAAAGTCAACCGAGTGCTAGTAAATAAAGATAACACCGATGTAGAATTATACTCATGTATATGTTATCTCTTTGTGAGGGAATTTTAATTTTATTTTGTAAGATGGTAGTGGTACATATTAGATGTCTTTCGAAACGATGGTGTTAGCCCATAGTTAAATTGTCGTTTCTATTTATATGTGCTCGTTAAATAAAAGAATAGTTATAGCGGGAAATTACAAAAGACAAATTAAATCAGCATGTTATTTATAAAAATAAATTGTCAGAAACGGGTCAGATCAAGTTGAATGCACAAGAATTGTATGAAATGAACTCGTAGACTCATATTCTCAATTAGTTATAGGTATTCATGATATTTATGAGATCTTTCTAACTATATAATAATCATTTATTACTTTGAGAACACATGAATATATACAAAGTCCGCAATAAAAAAATAATGAATTAGATTTAATACAAATCTCAATTATGAAAGACACTTTTGGAACAGAAAAGGTAATTTCAAAAGGAGGTGCTAGGGTTTTTTTTCATAGATTATTTGATTTTTATTTCATAAATCAAAACAATAAACTTGTTTCAGAAGGGAAGCGAAAAAAGTGTTTTATTTCTATTGTAAAATTGGAAAAAAAATTACCACATTGAGTTTAAAATAAATGTCTCATTCCTGCATGTAATTGAAAACATTTTAAAGAGGTTTGTTGTGTGGTTATATAAATTCTTGGATATCAATTTGTGAAGATTAAGCATCCCCTCCTGAAGGTAAATCGAGAAAAGCGCTTCGAACGCAACACATTTATAAATAATATTCTCATCTTCAGAAAACTTTTTCCCTTTAATTGTGTAGTACCACATTGTTTTTATACAAAGCTGATAGTCGTTTAATTGCGTTTTGAATAATTGCTGAGTATATTTTTTTAAATCGCAAAAGTTTCCGTGGAATCCTATATGTCTCGCTTGATATTGATGATGTCAGAGTAAAATTGCAATGTTGAATTCAGAAAACTAATGCTAATTGTAATTCAGTGCCAATCTGCCTAAGAATCAGGCAGTGGTGAAAACATGACAAACAAAAACCCACTCAAGTTTACATCAATTTATGTTTAAAATGTATAATGGCACACGAATATAACATTTGTTTTCTTTTCCTGTTCTGGTAATTCAAGATATAATTTGGTTGAAATGCACTAGAAATTACCAATTAAGGGGAGCTAACTCTGTTATTTGCTATCATTCTAACCAAAAGTTTTCTTCAGATTTTTCGAATTAACAGACGCGCAGAAATGAAAGTCCTACCATTTCTAATTCAGGGTCAGGGTAACTTCAAAAAATGATTGTTAGGTCGGTGGGTTTTTTTCGGCCAAGTTTTGAAATTGCATGATTCTTACAAAGACTGGTTTCGAAAAAGTTTCATGAGGGTATTTCAAAGTTCTTTATTGATTAACAAAAAACTTTAACCACACACTAAAACTTGACGACGCCTATTTTCTTGAAACATGTTTTATTTGCTCAAAGCAAAAACCGGCGATGACGACATAATATAGGATCGCTATCTTTCGCTTCTACGACTTTCCTTGCAAGCTAGATAAAAATGACAATAACAATTATGCTACAGCTTTATCACTTAAAGTTAAAGGATATAAAATACTCAAGTTCAATCTGGAAATTTTAACTCATTTTCTTCAAATGTTAATTTTTATTATAAACATTATCTCTCTTTCCATACTTAACTGTGGTGGACAAAAATACCTGCTAAATATTTCAAGAAATATAAGATGTTTAGTTTTGAGAAGTGAATTCAGACCAAATATGATTTTCTTGATTTATCCTAGTAATCGAAAGAGAGAAAAAGAGAAATATAGCTTACCGTTTAACATGTTACTTGTACTTCTTTCTTGTATCTTCATCTCTTTCAAGTACACGTCTATGAAGTCCCTGATATTGCCTTCATCAAAGGTATTTTGGTGCTCTTGAATTTCATTTCTAAAGTAATTGATGATTTTATCTAATTTAAGTGTATCAGCTTTTTACTCCAAACAGATCCCCTGGAAGATTTGCTAGCCATGGCATAAAATTAACTGGTCCGTTCAATGCTGAACTCGTTGTTATCTGGTTAAAGATTTCTTAAAATTCACAATATTTTGGATACTTGTAATCAAAGCGTTTCCCGTTAATAATTTGCATTAAACTATTTGCTGTGCTTGAATTCAGTATTCCTTCCAACACAAGTGTTTTTCCTTTATACTGCTGTATCCATTGCAAAAATGTATTCAATTTATCGATGATGCTCGATTCAAAACTTTGTTTTCCAAAACCAAACTCCCGTAATTTGGATATTGAGAAAGCTCTCTGTGCATTCCAGTTTGGGCCATTGGAGCTTATAATCCCTGAAAAACGAAAACAAAAAATTAATAAAAACCCTGTATTATTATTCCGTATTTACTTAAGTTATTATATTAAATACAATATATAAAATCTTCCGTTTTATCACTGATAATTGAAGATTTATTGAATTCAAATCGTCTCGCTTAAACAATTTGTAGCAGTAAAATATTTATAAAGCATACATGCATATTATGATGTGTGATGATGTATTGGAAAATAGGAAATAATGTTCCACTATTCTTGAAGCCTCGAGCTGCATTTGTTGTGATTTGTTAAAATTACCCACATCCATAATATTCCAATCAGTAGCAACCATATTCAAGTATTATGGTCTTTCAAGAACATTTTTTCTAATATCAAAATAAGTAGCAATTGGCTTAATTTAAAAGATCGGCACAAAGCACAAACACAGGTAACATAGAAACAATAAAAACAAAGCAACGAAATAAAAGTTACTGAAAGCTAGATCAAAGCCATTTATAACTATTAAATATAAGTTTTTTCAAAGGATTAATTAGTTTGAATAGATCGCATCTAAATTTACGGGCATTATAAACAACATTATCGTAATAATCAGGATGTGATATCCCGTTTTTGAAAGAACTCTACAGGTACAGTCAAAGTTCCTAACCAAATCTTTGTATCTATGAAAGAAATATTTATCTGTTATTACACAAGTTATGTTCATTGAAATCTAAAACGCGACTACAGACACTGTCATAGCTCACAAGTTGTGAAGTATACACACCGTAAGTAGAGATCAAAGGAACATCACTGTCCAAAAAGGGAAAATTAACAATCGGGAATAAAAAATCGTCTCTTTGGTGGTAAATATTTGTATAGTTAGAGAATACGGTGTGCAACTGAAATATCAGAATCTAGAAAAAAGGACATTTATTGCTGTCTGTATTAGATTTATTCAAAGTAAGTTCCTTTGAATAAATTTGCGCACTAAAATGCGAAAATTCTTGATTATTTCAAGCAAAAATATCATTGGTTAGTGTTTTTAAATTTATCAATTAAATGTAATTTAGACGATTCATTACTGATTTAAAAATAAGGAGATGTGGTATGATTGCCAACGAGACAACTATCCACCAAATTTCGAATAATTAATTTCATGATTATTTACTATATGACTCTCTATGGAGCGCACGGCCTTGAATGTAGTTGAATGTATAATTTCATTCTAAAGTACGTCCGTGTAGTATTAAAGTAATACTACCAACACCACATTGATAGCTACTTTGCCGGCCGGTACGAACACAAAACGCTTTGCGAGTACTTGATTTTTTTTTAATCTTAGAAATGGGCGCATTACTTACTCTTTTATTTAATCTAATTTTTTTTCGAAATGTGATGTGCGAATATCAACAATATTCAGACATTTATCAAAATAGGAATCAAGTGACTTTTTGTCTGATTTCTCCCGTTTACACCAAGTTTTACAAAAGGATATAAGAGCATCTTTAAAGACCTGACGACACTCTTTCCAGTTTATTTTCGACGGTGGACGATATTTTGGTCCTTTTTTATAAAAAAATAATAACCTCTTGGTATTGACCGATGATAAGTGCCCCTGGAATTACATGGCAATAAAGATCATATCTAAACTTGTATACTTCACAGTCTCAGGTTGAAGGCGCATTACTTTATATACTGTTGTCTGATGCAACTAGCGTATTATAAAAATAATAAACTTCGACTTCGTTTATTTTAATATGCATACGAAAATATAGAAGGGTTTATGCTATCAATAAATATATATAGCATAAGGTATAAAGTTTTGAACGGTACAATCATTGAAAGTACTAGTAACAACTGTGGATAAAATCCAAACCTCTGTTGAAGTTTTTTTTTCAATTGCCTTTTAGATTGGCAATACGATGGAACAGCCTATGTGATATACGCGTATACTCAGTATAGTGGTCTGAAAAACGATGTTGAATCACACTCTTTAAAAATGTTATGTAATCTACTTATTATGGTACCCTCAACTGAGTTGGGGTGACATATTGTTATTGTTCGTTTCTTTTTTTTCTTTCTATTATCATAGCCAGAAATTAGTAGTACTTTTGCTAATTAATATTCATTATATGTAAATGAGAATTGTACCACGTGATAATAGTTTGAACTGGACTAGCTTGATATCATTAAAATATTTAAAATACGGATATTATAAGTTGCCCGTCATTGAGTTCTTGTTTATAATCACTCTGATATTTCCGTAAAGTTGTCAGGAGGTCAAATTCAAAACAATGAACGCGAATTTAGTGAATTTTTCGTGTTTTCGTGATTTTATTCTTCTTGAAATAGGGGCATTTTAACTTTACGTTGGAACCTACAGTTCAACGACTACACATACAAGGTTTGGACTTGCTTATTCTTTGGACATTCAAGTTTCAAGTTTCATCCCGGCAACCTGTTTTTGTGATGACCTTGTTAGCCAATTTTCAACACGAAGTTTGCAGATAAGAAGTTAGCAATATCCTTTAACTCTACGTTCCGCTATATAGATGATGTTCTCTCACTAAATAAGACAAAATTTGGTGACTATGTTGAACGAATCTATCCGTTCGAACTAGAGATAAAGGATACTACAGATACAGTTAAGTCTGCCTCATATCTTGACTTACATCTAGAAATTGACAATGAGGGTCGGTTGAAAACAAAACTTTACGACAAAAGAGATGATTTCAGCTTCCCAATTGTGAACTTTCCATTTCTATGTAGCAACATTGCAGCAGCGCCTGCATACGGAGTATATATTGATACGATATTCCCGGGCTTGTGTTTCCTATCATGATTTCCTTGATCGATGATTGCTGCTCACAAGGAAGCTATTAAGCTAAGAGTTCCAAATGGTGAAGTTGAAATCATCCCTTCGTAAATTTTACGGACGCCATCACGAGTTGGTTGACCGTCATGGAATAACCGTTTCACAGATGATATCGGATATATTCCTTATGTCGTAACTACAATACCCTTCCCTTTTCACGAATATGACTTACCGAATAGACTATTTACCGGATTTGTAATAACATAAGCGACACGACGGGTGCCACATGTGGAGCAGGATCTGCTTACAGTTTTTGATGGGGTGAGTGTTGCTTAGTCTTTAGTTTTCTATGTTGTGTCATCTGTACTATTATTTGTCTGTTTGTCTTTTTATTTTTGGCCATGGCTTTGTCAGTTTGTTTTCGATCTATGAGTTTGACTGTCCCTATGGTATCTTTCGTCCCTCTTTTGCAAATTTGACGTTTCAGCCATTTTAGCCTGTATTTTATACTGCAATGTTAAAAGCCTCTCGCTTCGATTTTTAAAATAGCTCAGGAACCTTGATTTTTGCAACGACAGTCATCATAAATAAAATTGAGAATGGAAATGGGGAATGTGTCAAAGAGACAACAACCCGAACATAGAACAGACAACAGCAGAAGGTCACCAACAGGTCTTCAATGTAGCGAGACATTCCCGCACCCGGAGGCGTCCTTCAGCTGGCCCCTAAACAAATATATATACTAGTTCAGTGATAATGAACGCCATACTAAACTCCAAATTGTACACAAGAAACTAAAATTAAAAATAATACAAGACTAACAAAGGCTAGAGGCTCCTGACTTGGGACAGGCGCAAAAATGCGGCGGGGTTAAACATGTTTATGAGATCTCAACCCTCCCCCTATACCTCTAGCCAATGTAGAAAAGTAAACGCAAAACAATACGCACATTAAAATTCAGTTCAAGAGAAGTCCGAGTCTGATGTCAGAAGATGTAACCAAAGAAAATAAACAAAATGACAATAATACATAAATAACAACAGACTACTAGCAGTTAACTGACATGCCAGCTCCAGACTTCAATTAAACTGATTGAAAGATTATGTCTTCATCATATGAATATCAGGCACAATCCTTCCCGTTAGGGGTTTAGTATCATACCATCATAACATATATTAGAAGAACATAACCCGTGTCATGCCAACAACTGGTTTTTAAATAAATGTGTTTAGTGCCGATGCAAAGACCCTATAAGTGAATCAATATTAACGCCAAAATATGCAATCTTTAATGACCTGACAACAGTATCGTAACTATATCCCTTCTTAATAAGTCTATTTAAAGGTTTTGTTAGCTTCAGAGGTGAATACTGACATTTTTGTGCTTCATAAAGAATATGTCCATAAAACATTGGATGTGAAATACCTGAACGTATAAGAAGTCTGCATGTTGAGCTATATTTACGAATGATGTCCTTATACCGATGATAAAATTTAGTAAATGTTTTGACTAGTTTGTGATATCGAAAACCCTGGTGTAATAATTTTTCAGTAATACATAAATTTCTCTCGTTAAAATCTAAAACAATGTTACATACACGAGTGAATCGTACAAGTTGAGATATATAAACACCGTAAGATGGTGACAAGGGAACGTCACCATCTAAAAATGGATAATTAACGATAGGAAATGAAAAATCATCTCTTTTATCATATATTTTAGTATTAAGCTTTCCATTAATGATATAGATATCAAGATCGAGGAAAGGGCAGTGGTCATTGTTAGTATTAGCTTTATTTAAAGTAAGTTCAACAGGATAAATTTCTTTAGTATACATACTGAAGTCGTCATTATTGAGAGCCAAAATATCATCCAAATATCTAAAAGTATTATTAAATTTGTGTGTCAGATGTTGTTTCGATGGGTCTTGGTTGATTTTTGTCATAAATTGTAACTCATAGCAATACAAAAAAAGGTCCGCAATAAGTGGTGCACAGTTAGTCCTCATTGGAATTCCGATAACCTGACGATATACGGAATCTCCAAAGCGAACAAAAATGTTATCTAGTAAAAATTCAAGGGCATATATAGTATCAAAGCATGTCCAATTGACATAGTTTTTTTGTTTATTGCTACTAAAAAATGACCTAAAAGAGTTTGAACATATATACTCACATTCTGACTTTTTAAATGCCCATTTAATTAGGTGTGTGAATTTTTTCTTAATGAGAATGTGAGGCAATGTGGTATATAGGGTAGAAAAATCAAAACTTTGAACAGATTCAAAATCACCAATATATGCATGTAATTTATCAAGTACTTCCAACGAGTTCTTGACACTCCAAAAGTAATTAATTCCACTATTTTCGAAGGCCTTATTTGAACAATTTATTATCAGGTTTTTGATTGTACCAAGTGTACTGGTAAGGAGAATAGACAATTTAGTAGTGGAACAATGGCTTGAAGACGAAATGATCTATATTTGTAAGGTGTTTTGTTTAGCTTCAGAAGCCAAAACATAGTTGGGACTTTCATTG